AAAGTGCGCGCCAGGGGAGGAGGATGCTTTGGGGCGAAAATGGACGTGAAAGATGGGGGCACGAAAAGAAAAAAAAAAAGAAGGGCACTTGGGGGAAATCCAGCCCAACGCACCTGGACTGTCGGGTGGCCAGGCGCAAACTGTCCTGCTGATCACTGGCCATCCGGAGAAGTTGGCCCATCCGAGCCAGGTAGGACTGCCGATCGCCGGCCGACCGGGCGAAATCGTGAATCGTCTGCTGGACTCCGAGCATCTCCCGGCGAATGCCGTCATACGCTGAAGCTGCATTGACGAGATTTTGCAGCGGCCCAGGCGCATCGGCGGGCGAAGGCCCAGGGCCGGGGCTGCCGGCTACCGGGGGCCCGGACGCTGGTTGCCCCATCGGCTCGGCCAGGAGGGCTACCAGGCGTTGCTCCACATGTGACGCCTCCTCGCTGCGCGCGAGTGCTTCGGCTCGGAGGTGGTCCAGATTCCGTGACAAAATTTGCCGCATATACTGCGGGCAGGGTTGATGCCGGGAAGAATCGAAGGAAAGGAGCGCGCGGAGGGGGAGAGCGGGAGGGACTGTTAGCCTGTCTTCGCGCGAGGGCGAGGGCGCCAGACGAGTGTCCTCCGAGCAGGAGGGATGGGCATGAGGAGAAAAAGAAGGAGAGAGAAGGAGTGGGCGAGCGAAAGCACCTGGAGATCATTGTCAGAGAGGTCGTGGGGCCGGGCGAGGTCGCGAGAGCCGGCTGTGCTGGCTGTGGCGGCGTCCCCTTCCAGCAGTCGGTCCAGGAGCAGAACATTGGCCTCGGGCCGGTCCACCGGGTGCCCCTCGCCCGGGATCAGCCACTCGCCGGAGAGGATGGACTGAAGGAGATCGCGTGTGCTGGGCCCGCTGACTGGACTCAGGGGCGATGGGCCATCTGGCCCGGTGGGCACGCAATCCACGAAGTGCGCATCCAACTCGGGGTCCTGTGGCATGCTGGGCAGGGTGGCGGAGGGGGAGAAGTGGCGGAATGGGCGAACGGCCCTGTGACAAGAGGTGTGGCGAGGGACAAAGAGGCGTGGGTGCGTGGGTGCGTGGGTGCGTGTGACTGCGCGTGGCTGTGTGTTTGCCTGTGCTTTGTGTTTGGGTGAATATGTTGTGCACACGCGCAGCGGGGACGGGACAAGAGCAGGCAAGCAGAAGGGTGAGGAGGAGGAGGAGGAGGAGGAGGAGGAGAAGGAGGAGGAGAGGGATTGTTGCCTCGGGCCAGGCGTCGGCTGGCGCAGTTCCGCCAGCACCTTAAAGTTGTGGAGGAGGGATCGCTCCGGGTTGGGCCGAACAAAGCCCCCCCCCCCCACCACCTTATGCACCAGATACATGGCGTCTCAGCCAAAGAGAACTAGCGTCGTATCGACTTGTCGCGGTCCTTCCCTCGGTTGTCTTGGGTGGGGGGGGGGGGGGGGCCGGCCGCCAAGATCGCGGATGTGACAGGCCGCCCCGAGCTTGGCCCGTATGATCACGCTTACTATAGCATTCCCATGCTGGTATATAGGACTGCGGGCTATCACATAGTTAGCTCCCGGGTCTGGCTTGGAGTGCAGGTGTCGCCGGATGGCCTGGAAGGGTCCGTGGGTAACTCTTCCTGACCGGTGAGGGCGGGAGGGGGCTTTGGCCTCACGCCCCGAGGGGGTGCATCAATTGGCATTATCCCCAAGCCCGGGTCTGTTTACGGACAAGGCGCGTATCGGGGGCGGGGGGGGGGGGGGGGGGGGGGGAGCGGTGAACTTCCGCCCGTTCAACTTCCGGCGTTCTGGCCACCCTGAACGGGGCCCCTGTGTGTCTGGGGGTCGGTGGTTTTGGACTGGTGCTTCCCGCCAAAATGGCGACTGTGTGCGGCCAGCTCTCCGAGCATGTGTGTGTGTGTGTGCGTGTGTGCGTGTGTATGTATTTGTGGGCGAGAGAGGCGGGGGGGG